AAAAAAGTACATAATATTTGTGCTTAATTCTATATAATAATGTGAAGAATCTTGTAAGTCTCACTTAACATTTAAATCATAGGCTAAACTTCTAACGAACTCTGGAAAAACTTAAAGAAAATAAAAAGCAAAAATTATTTTAAAGCCAGAAATGTCTTCCTTAAGAGCTGCTCCAAATTTTCATACGGGGAAAATTTTTCATATAGGAAAAAGTTTTGAAACAGAAGTATCCCATAAAACTTTAAGTGTAAAAACCAGGTGATTGTATTAGAACACGTTATCTGCATCTGAAAGATGTTTTGGTCTCTGAAATACACCAAAAAATAAAGGGGGGGGGGGCTAAGAGACGACTAGAAAGTGACCAGCATGCGCAGTATGATAAAGCTGAGGAAAATCTTTCACAAGAGACATAACTTGACACAAACTTGGGCATTTCCGTGTCAGTCATTCCCTTACCAAGACTCCGAGAAGAAAGTCCAGAACCGACCCATACCTGACCCCATCCAAAAGTACCACGATTATACTTCGGCAGAACATGGTGCTTTTTTAGAGTTGCACAACTACATGGATATTTTTAAGATATAACATCTAGACCGGGGCAGGGGGCAACAGACAGAGGGTCAGAGGCTGGAACTGAATGAAAGGTAACGAAATTCAAGAAACAAGAAATCCGAGAGAGACCGTCAATTAAAGGCACCAAAACGGGTCTTCGGTTATACCATGAAGTAGGGCCCAGAGAGGAGAGCAATAAGTTTCTGCGTTATTCCCAAAACTACACGTAAGCGAATACGTTAGCAGGCTGCAGCAGAGGTGGGGCCGTAGACTACGCACGAGGAACTGAATGAAGGGATGCCCCATGGCCTGATTCCTCCCAGAAACATCGTGAGTAGAAACCTCACGATACTTCAACTCCCTCCTCGCTCTCCACTAAGCTCCGCTTTCAGGCTATCCAAAGCCCCACGCGCTCACGAAATGTACTGGGCTCATCCCCTGCAGGACGCCAGGGGCCCCAGGGTGGGGGGCTCAGGCATGCCGCCCCAGGCTCCTTTCCCTCGTCCCAAGCTGCATCCCCTTGCTCGTCTCGGCCCCAAACGGCCTCCCTTCCACACACACCCGTCCAGGGTCCCGTTTCGGGGTAGGGAGAGCACTGCCGCCTCCTTATTACCGACCTCAGAGCTAAACTCATTTTCTCTTCGGACAGAGACGTTCCTTTCAAGAATGATTTTACCCCCACCCAAGGATGCACGACTTCCACAAGCCTTTCAACAGTCGCTGACGACCTCAGCGGCCCCAAGGACCTCCCACAAGATACACGCTTCTGAGCTGGATTGGTTGAAAATATCTAATGTTCTGTCCATTAGGGCGGAATTTCACTAGTCCTCTGTGTTTATTGGGCAGATTTCCCGTCAATCAAA